CCGGGCGCACGGCCTCCAGGAGCAAAGGTATTAATCTATTAATCTTGGAGGACTGCGTTGCTCACCAGGTTCGTCGAGAACAAGGGGAGGTGGAGACCAGACACGGAACCGGACGGAACGGCTAGGCACGGGAGCACAGTAGAGGAGCGTGCAAGAACCGGGCCCCCAGAGGGGTCAGCCAGGGAAACTGCAACAGGCCTGGTGAGTGGTGTGACTGTGGTACTGTCGCGAAAGAAGCAGCGGGAAGCACCTGAGTCAAGTGTGAAGGTGTGCAAGGCCTCAGCAGGCGCAGTACCAGAGAGAGCAGACTCACTAGCACCTAGAGCAGCAGCCTCTATACCAGGGTCATACGGCGCACACAAGTAACAGTCACCCTCAACACTAGTAGACAGAGCATACATTCCAGCAATGATAGCATCAAAGTCTAGAGCAAAGATATCAACACCAGCCTTATACAACTCTGCTTAGCGGGGCATCTCACACTCATCACCCATCTCCTGACGCCAAGCGTCGTCTAGGCGGGAGAAACAGCGGTGCTGGGTGTGAAACTTCCCGCACGTCTGACCAGCGCGGGGACCTGTGCGAATAACGTACGAGCAGCGACCACTACCACCACCCCTAGACCCTGTACGCTGAGCAAGCCACTCACGAAGCTGCTGGGGCGAGAGCTGCTCACGCGGACGCTACTGCTGCTGTCGCTGAACTGCGCCAGAGCAGTCACCACCGCCGCCGCTGCCTCCACTCCCGCCGCTGCCACTCCCGCCACCACTGCTCCCACTGCCACCACGACCACTGCCACCACCACCCCCGCCGCCACCGTCACCTCCGCTGCCTGCGCCCCCACTCGCTCCACCACTCCCACCGCCACCTCCACCACCTCCGCCTCCCCAACCACCTCCACCACCATCCCCCCCGCCGCCACCCGCACCACCCTTGCCCCCCTTGCCCTTGCCGCTGCGGCGCTTCCCACTAGGAGCAGAAGCAGCCCCAACCTCCTCAGCACCAAGGAAGTCGACAGCAGCGGCAGAGGCAACAGAGGGGGCGAGGGGGGAGGGGGAGCACCCCTCAAAGAAGGGCGTGCGAGGGGTGCCACGGGTAGCACCTACAGCGACAATGTTCGCTCCAGCTGCAAGAAGGTGCTTCCCTAGCAGGTCGATAGTGAGCTCTGTAGGGGGGAGAGCGAGAAGGGTGTCCCGGACTGCACTAAGAGAGTCAGGGAGGCGTGTCACTATGAAGTGGAGAGTGATATAGATCGGGGGCTCGTTCTTGGGCAGGAACTCGGCAGGGAGGGCAGCACGGTAACGAGCGTCCGTAGCGCGAAGGTGGGAGAGAAGATCATCGACAGTGGCGAAGGAGGACAGGTCAGGGAAAAGGTAGGGCAGGAAGAGGCGGCTAAGCGCTGCAGTGGCAGGGGAAGAGTAACGGGCAACTACAGTGTTGTAGATGGTCTTAGCAGTCTTAGCCTGGTCAAAATGCTCGCATTCAGCTGTCGGCAGGTGGTTGCGAATGGCTAGGCGAGCAGCAGCATCGCGGGTAAGCCACTGCGAGCGAGTCGTCGCGTCAGCTGAGGCTGGTGGGGCAGTGGAGGCACCAGTCGCTAGGTCATAGAGCGAAACACTATCCCTAGCATCGCTCAATAGGTACAGCTGCAGGTCCTGGAGCTAGGTGTCGAATTTGACTGGCCGGTCGTCAGGATCAAAAGAGAGAATACGCAGGGTGGCCATAGTGTAGCAGCTTAGAGGCAGCACAGTGGCAGGGCGCAGGCTGCAAGGGTGTTGCGCTAAGCTACAAGGGCGGCGCAAGGGGCAGGGCAGAGGCAGCATGAGGGCTGCAGAGGATGCGCGCGGGGCAGTAAGGGCGCACGGGCTGCCAGGGCTTGCGCACGGGGCAGGGACGCGTGGCGCGCGGCCTGGTGGGGCGGTGCGCGGGGCTGCTAGGGGCCGCGAGGGGCAGGGGAGCGCAGCGCGCGGGCTGCTGGGGCAGCGCGCGGGGCTGCGAGGGGCCGCGAGGGGCAGGTGGGGCGGCGCACGGGCTGCTGGGGCAGCGCGCGGGGTCTTTTAGGGGACGTGAGGGGCAGGGGGAGCAGCGCGTGGGCTGCTGGGGCGGCGCGCGGGGCCTTTAAGGAGCCGCGAGGGGCAGGCGGGGCAGCGTGCGGGCTGCTGGGGCGGCGCGCGGGGCTGCAAACGGGCCGCGAGGGGCAGGCGGGGCAGCGCGCGGGCTGCTGGGGCGGCGCGCGGGGCTGCAAGGGGCTGCGCGCGGGCGGCTAAGGCGACGCACGGGGCAGCAAGGGGCAGCGCGCGGGCTGCAAGAAAAAACGACGCACTGGCTGCGGGGGCGGCGCGTGCAGGCGGTACAGGGCAGGGTAGGTTGTGGGGTAGCGCCGTAACCGGTGGGCCCGAAAAAAAAAAGCCGGTCCTACGGACCTAATGCTCTGATAGCATGTCAGAATCTGTGCTAGGAATGATGAGACTAGAAACAGTTGGGATACAAATAGGAACCCTAGAAAGTTGTACCCCATGTAAGCTACCCCACTACAGCCTACAAACAACAAAGTCTAATATAACTTAACACCGTGTTATGTGTGTGGGGGAATTTTTGGCATCTAAATCGTGACTAGAGTCAACATGCATGTTCATCTATCTGGTCCGAAAAATAAAGACCATCACACACAAGCATTGCATCTATCACAGAAAGTTGGGTTCCGAGTCAACTTGTCTGACATTCCAGACGCTGTTTTTTTTTTCCATCTCCTTTGTATTCGAGCATGAACTGTTCCGTGCATTGTTAAGCTTTGCATGCCTTCCACCATTCTGTTCATTGCTGTCTCTCGGCTCCACTCGGAAGTCACCCTGTCAGCATTGGAGTGAAGGATGCTTGATTTTGCTCTAACCTTCCTACCCCCCTCGCCTTGCGTGCTCACTGACTGTCAGGGTTTGAGCGGGAGATGTTCAAGCAGAAGAACGAGATGCAGGCACGCGATCAGGAGGCCTTCATGTGGTCCATTGCAGACATGTAACGCTCATGTGGCCATTGATGCGAGTGTGTCTCTGTGGTGGACAATTTGCTACGGTACGTACATTGGAGGCGTTGTGACTCACTTGCGAGTCACGAGTGCCTTAGACTAAAGGAAGCGATTTTAGAGATATGAAATGAACGTTGTCGCAATGTACTCATTCCCAAATAAAATGAAGCATGGTGCCAAGCAAGCATTTACAGGCATGACGTGACAGTAAAAATCAAGACAATTAAAAGGTGCACTCGTCCTCAAGATCCTAAGTTGAGCGGCTATTCCAAATTGCATATGTCACGTCTCTATGTTTGTCTGCGTTGTTATTGAGCTTCCCATGCACCGGTGTGAAGTGAAAACAAATCTTTTCAATCGAAATCGTAAGCCAAGCCTTCAATACGATAATCTTGTTGAAATATATTTCTTATATAAACTGCTTGTAGCAGTAGTTAGTGTAGTGTTACATTGGTGGTGCACCTCATTCCCTTGTCCCTTGCACTATATCTTGTATCTTTGCTCATTAGTGAACACTTTTCTCCTTTGCCAAACTCTCTCGATACTCATGCTTACACCCAAAACCTTAGCTATGGCTACTAAGTTCTAACCACTATTTTGACATGGTATCAGAGTGGTTACTTTCCTAAGACCTAATGGGCCCACCGTTCGCTTCCGCGACTGTTCTTTCAGTCGCGCGCCCCGGGCGCGTGGCGATTTTCCTGCCTGTCGCGCGCCCCGGGCGCGCGACGTTTTCTGCCCGCCACGCGCCCCGCGCGCGCGGCGGTTTTCTGCCCGCTGCGCGCCCCGGGCGCGCGGCAGCTTCTAAACTGCCACGCGCAACCCGTACAGCCCAGACGCAGCCCGCGCGCAGCCAGTATAGCCCGTGCGCGGCCCGCGCGCAGCCCGTGCACCCCGTGCGAGGCCCACGCGCAGCGCGTACGACCCGCGCAAGGCCCGCGCGCGGCAGGTACAGCCCGCGCCAGGCCCGCACGCAGCCTGTTCAGCACGCGCCAGGCCCGCGGGCGGCCCATGCAGCTCGCGCCAGGCCCGCGCGCACTTGCCCTGCCGCGCGCGCACCTGCACTGCCCCTGCTGTCGCCCGTGCAGCTTCTCCCCCTCCTCCCCCCCCCCCCCCCCCTTCTCCTTCCTCTCCCTGCTGCGCGTGCAGCCGTGGGGGAGGGTATGGGGGTGGCGGGTATGGGGGTGGCGGGTGTGAGTAACTGCTGCTCCTCCTCCTCTTCTCTATCCCACTGCTGCAGCTGCAGCTGAGGGGTGGAGGGTGTGGGGGAGCCTAGGGAGTGGCGCTAGGGATGCAGAAGGGGGTGTGGAAAGGGGGTGTGGGACAATGGGGGAAGGTTGAAAGGAGGTAGCCGCCATGAAGCCAGCAGCTCTAGTAGTCCGGATGCCCTTGCCCGGTAGCCCGTGAGCCCGTTGCTCCAGTCGCCCGTGGGTCATTTGCTCCAGCTGCTCATCTAGCCGCGGAGCCAGTTACTCCAGTAGTCCGGATGCCCTTGCTCCGGTAGCCTGTGTGCCAGTTGCTCCAGTCGCCCGTGTGCCAGCAGCTTCAGCTGCCGCCTCCTACCTCCTCTCCTCTCATAGTCCCTCCTCCTCACTTGCCGTTTCCTGCTGCTGCGCTTGGTGTACCCCTTCAGGGGGTGTCTCTGCATTACCTTCTTGCTGCGAGCAGTTTAGGGGGTAAGTTGAAATATATTTCTTATATAAACTGTTTGTAGCAGTAGTTAGTGCAGTATTACATTGGTGGTGCACCTCATTCCCTTGTCCCTTGCACTATATCTTGTATCTTTGCTCATTAGTGAACACTTTTCTCCTTTGCCAAACTCTCTCGATACTCATGCTTGCACCCAAAACCCTAGCTATGGCTACTAAGTTCTAGACACTATTTTGACAAATCTTTATTCACACGGCAGAGCCTTTCACAACTTCCCCTACCATGTCGGACACATCATCATACTTAACTGGCACGCACAGCCACTGCTTCACAGATGCTCTTTGTGTCCCGCCCCAGGCGTGCCACCTCTCTCCATGCCAATGCTTGACAGCGCTGTAATCCTTGAGGCGCCTTGAGTTGCTACAAGCCCTGAGGCGCCACTGCCAGCACTGCTGCTCACACCTGCATGTGCCTCAACCCCCTCCTCTTGCAGAACAGCCTCACACAATTCCCCAATACAAGGCGGCACTAGCACACACTCCGCCTCCTCGCACTCACCATCCACCTCCATCGGATCCTCCTCGCCTTCCCTCTCGTGAATCCCGGCCTCACCATCAGCCATGTCACCCACACCATTGGCCACGTCACCCACACCATTGGCCACGTCACCCACACCATTGGCCACGTCACCCACACCATTAACAACGTCACCTGCCTTCAACCCAGCTTCTCCATCAGGCACGCCCAGACCAACAGGCATGGCCAAACCAGCAGTGGCACAATCGCCTTCACGCCACTCGCCCTCCTCGCCCTCGTCCCATCCCTCCCCAGCGGCCTTACCAGCCATGACCGCACAGCGCCATGCATGCAGCACCTCCCTCACACTGCCACCCACTGCTCCCTCATCCAGCCGAACCTTCTCCTCCACATTCACACCCACGCCCACATCCCCCGCCTTCCGCTCCTTACTCGCACGCACCTTCTTCTTCTCATGCACTTCCCAAGGCCACTCCACCAACCCCTCGTCCCCGCCACTGTTACTCGCCCTGCTGCCCCCCTCTCCTAGCCCACCAACCTGTTTCCCACTGCCACATGCCCGTGCTCTCATCCTCTCCTCTCCTTCCACCCCTCCTTCCACAACGCCTACAACAACCCCTCCTCCGTCCCCCCGTCCCCCCTATCCCTCTTCCCTCTACCCCCGTCCGCTACCCCCTCCTCTTCTCTCCCCCCCACGAGGCCTGCAGCCCTCCCCTCACCACACTACACCTGCTCTCTCACGCCCCTACCTTCTACCCCCCTACCTTCCGCCATGCCCCGTTCCCCCACCGTCACACCATGCTCCAAGCGCTGTCTGCTATCCCCTTGAACATAAACGCCACTGCTTACTCGCCACCTGGCTCCAGGACCCTGTGCCACGTCAGCAGCAGCAGCAGCGTCAGAAGCATGTGGCTGCGCGTCATCACGAGTGAAGCCGTCATGCGAGAGGCTCATGGCTTCCGTGCCCTCCCTGTCACCACCGCCACAAGCAGCGGTGCCTCCACTAATGGACCCACCAACATACTCTCCTCCCTTGTGCTGCCTCCTCCTCTTCTTGCTCGCCTGCCCTTGCTCTCGCTGCTTCTGCACACACAACAGGCACAGGGATGGCGCAGCACACACAGGCAGTGAGGAGGTGTGAGGCCTGCAGCACAGAGGAGGAGTATGGATGGATGGATGGTCACATGGAGCGAGATGGCAGCCTCGATGCCTTCTCTTTTCTGTGTCTCCCTCTGCCTGATGCTTCAAAAGGACACTGCTGCATACCTGCATGCCTCTCGCTCTGCCCAAAATGCCTGCATTCTGCTCCGCCACGCCTACCAACACGTCCCTCCCTCTGCTCCGTCCCGCCTACAGCATTCCTCTGCTTTCTTCCGCCTACCTGCAACTCTCTCACCTCGGCCATGATTTCATTATACACGTCAGCGCTGACTCGCGCCTTCAGAATGTTCCAAGACACGCCGCCCGGAGTGTGGCGCCTCTTGCCGTCCGCCGTGAGCTGCCCTCCACAGCGCTGCACCGCGTCCACCTAACGCAGAGGGGAGAGGGGGGGGGGAGGGGGGGGGCGGGGTGGTGGGAAAGGAGGAGGTTGGGGGAGGGGATGGGGAGGCCCCAATACTCGCTCGTCTCATCTCACCTCAGCTGGCCTCCACAGCGCTGCACTGCGTCCACCTGCACAGCGGTGGTGGGGGGGGAGAGAGTGGTGGGGGGGAAGAGAGTAGGAGGGGAGTGGGAGGGGGGAAGATGGAGCGACAACTGGTGAGTCAGCTTCAAAATGCACCGCGAGGAAGGGAAGGGGGTGGCGAGGGCTATCGCAATTGTTAAGGCACCTCGATACTCATCCCGCACGTGGGTTGACTGCCACAGCGCTGCACCGCACCCACCTTCGGTGTGGGGGTGGGGGGGGGAGGTGGGGGGAAAGGGATGGGGAAGTCTGATCGTTGAGTCGACTAGAGAAAGGAGGTCGGGGGAAATGGGACGGGGAAAAATTGCACTGCGTCCACCTGTCGGGGGGGAGGGGGTCGGGAAGGAAGGAGGGGGTTGGCTGAACAATGGTGTGGAGGGGCCCAAACAGGGTGAGGTGAGGGGGCGAGGGGGAACGTGACGGGAGGAATGGGACCAGAAGAAACACATAAGGAAGCAGAGACGGAAACTGGAGATGAGATAATGAAGAGGACAACGAGAAGGCGGTATGAGAGGGATGAGAAAGACAGGGAGGAATTTAGGTAGCCATAGAAAGAGTCCTGTTGAACCTTAACCCTCCTCCCCCATCACCTATAACCCCTTGCTCATACTTTCATTCCTGTCGCCCCTTCCCAATCGTTCATGCCTTGAACCCTAACCTTCCTACGTCATCCTCTCTAAGCTAATGATATATCCCACTTCGTGCAATCACCAGTATACCCCCACTGCTGCCGCCAGCGCATCCCCACCGCATAACGCTGTTACACTTGCCCATTCTCTCCACTCCCATCCTCAATCCCATACCCTGACCCCATACCACATTCCCCATCCCCATTTTCATTCCTTACTCCCAAGTTTCCAAACCCAGTCCCCGAACCCATGCCCTCACCTCCCCTCACCTCCCAACATGCCCCTCACCTCCCCACACCTCCCCACATGCCCCTCACCTCCCCACACCTCCCCACATGCCCCTCACCTCCCCCGCATACCCTCCCCCCCCCACATATCCCTCTCCTCCCCCGCATGGCCCTCACCTCCCCTCCATGCGCCTCACCCCTCGCCTCCGCCACCATCCCCCTGACGGAGTCCTCTCCCAGTGTGTGCACGGCTCGCCTCATCAGGTCCCTCTTCGGCTCGCCCAGCCACGCACACGCCCACGCCGCCACGCTGCCAGGAAGGGGGAGTGGGGAGATGAGGGAAAAGACATGCTGATGAAGGCACGCCAGTCCAACACAGAAACGCGCAACGCCGCCACGCCGCAACGCTCGCCCAGCCGCGCACACGCCCACGCCGCCACGCTGCCACAAGGGGGAGTGCGAGGATGGGGGGGGGGAAATGGGAGGCGGGCGTGGGAGGAGGAAGACAAGAGAGAGAGGGGATTGACCGAAAGTGGAGAAAGGAGAGCGCGTGCGGGGCGAAGCGAGAGTGGAGGGGGGAGGAAGAGATAGGCACGAGGAGGAGGCTGCGGAATCTCGGTTGGGAATCACGACGAGGAGATAGGCACGAGGAGGAGACAGCAGATGATCATCCAAGGCACCCGCATCTGATCATCTACACCATCACCACTAACCAACGCTCCCATCGCGCCGTCATGCTCACGCCGTCACGCCGTCATCTCGTAGCCCTAGCGCTCACCTCGCGTCGTCCATCTCCCTCTCTGCCCCTCGCCGCCCAGCGCCCCGCCCTCCCTCCCTCCCCCTCGCCCTCCGCCCTCCCCCTCCCCCTCCGCCCTGCAAGAGGGGGGATTGATTGATAAGGACGAGGGCGCGTGTGGTGCAGCAGGAGAAAGTGGCGCGCGTGGTGCAGCGGGAGAAAGTGGGGAGGAAGAGATCGGCAGGAGGGCACAGCAGGAGCATACGGTTGGTTGGGGTCATCGCAAAAATTGGGGACCCAGTTTCAGTAGGGTTTTTTTTTTCGTTCGTCGAACAGTGGTCGAACCCGCTGGTGCGTTTGGTTGGTAAAAAGCTACCTTACTGTCTACAATACATTTTTGATATGGTTTGCTATTTCAGAAGCATGTGATATAATATGTTTCCTCACTAATCTTCACAAAGTATTTATTTTCTGACCTGCATGACTGAGATCAAACAATTTCGATTCTTTGAAAGCAAAACAATAATACGTAGTGATACATGTCATAAATATAACAAATTAAACTCGCATCTAGTCAAACAAATGATCGTTGAGAAAAAAATAGCCTCGACGCTTAAACGACTTGACAATGTGGACGGCACGGAACACCGAGTCCACTTCCACGACATCACGGTACAAGCTTCCAGTACCTGGGTGCTTGGCCCGCTCCTGGCGCTTGCAACCACTAGCATCATCATTACCAACCACCTCATAGTACTGAACATAGGCAAAACCTTTGTCGCTCTGAGCGTGCTTAAAGAGGAGAAGTACCTCTGCGTACCACACCTCCTCCCCTCCACTAATGGCCACATGGGTATGGGGAGAGAGCAAGGGACCCGCGCTTGGTGCAGTCATGATGTACTGCGTGGCACGGGCCGGTGCGGCGAAGCGCAAGGCGAATGACTGGCGCGCGCGCATCTCTATGTATGTGCGTCGCGTGTTCGCTGACGCGTCTAGACTTGCATGCGAGGCAAATCCTCGTTTGAAGTTCAACTATTCCGAGCTGGTGTGTGAGGAGGAGCACACGCCTACGCAGGTGTACAACATGGAGGGCGTGAAGCCCTTGTGTAAGACATGTTGTCAGAATATTATGCTCTAGCCTGCAGTGGGGTGCTCTATAGCGAGTACAACCCTTCTAGGGTTAGCTATTTGTACCACCATTGTTGCTAGTGCAAACCCTCCTTTCTTCATTCTTACTTTCTACAGCTAACTTTGACATGCTATCAGAGCAGGTCGACCCTCCTGGGTCGATCCTGTGGGTGGGCCCACCACCTAATGCTTCCGCTGCTTTACTTCCTGCCGGGCGCCTCGGGCGCGCGACGACTTCTTCCTGCCGTGCGCTCGCGGCGAATTTTTTCTAGGGTTTCGGCGGTTTTCATCCCGCCGTGCGCTCGGGGCGCGCGGCGGTTTTCTGCACGCCGTGCGCCCCGAGGCGCGCGGCGGTTTCCCACCGTCGAAGTGCCCCCCGTCGCCCGTCGAAGCGCCCTCCCCCCGTCGCCCGTCGAAGCGCCCCCGTCGCCCGTCGGAGCGCCCCCCGTCGCCCGCCAAAACGCCCCCGTCGCCCGTCGAAGCGCCCCTGGGACCCGCGCGCGGCCCGTACGGGCTGCGCCAGGCCCGCGCGCTGCTCGTACGGGCTGCGCCAGGCCCGCGCGCGGCCCGTACGGGCTGCGCCAGGCCCGCGCGCGGCCCGTACAGCCCGCGCGCGGCCCGTACGGGCTGCGCCAGGCCCGCGCGCGGCCCGTACGGGCTGCGCCAGGCCAGCGCGCGGCGCGGGCAGCCTGCGCGCGCCTCGTCCGTCCCCCTCTCGCCGTCCCCCGCGCTCCTGCCCCTATCCCACCCGTTTTAGGGTTTGGGGATGTAGAGTGTGGGGGTGGCGGGTGTGGGGGTGCCGGTTGTGTGCCCCGTCCCCTCCTTCTCCTCCTCCTCCGTCTCCCGCTGCTGCAGCTGCCGCTCAGGGGGGTGGTTGTGTGGGGAGCCGAAGGAGTGGTCCTAGGGGGGTGAAGGGGGAGTGGAGCTAGGGGCGCAGCAGGGGGTGTGTGTCGAGGGGTGTGGGACTGTTGGGGGAGGTTGAGCGGAGGTTGCCGTCGTGTCGTACGCAGCGCCTGTACTCCGGGGCACTCATTCCCGGTAGCTCAGAGAGCCGGTTGCGCCGTCGCCTGTGGGTCCGTTGCTCCTGCCGCGCATATTAGCCGCGGAGCCTGTTACTCCTGTACTCCGGGGCACTCATTCCCGGTAGCCACGTTGTCGCACCAGAGC